GGCTGAAACACATTCAATCTTAGCTCCACAAGGCCGTCTGGAAACAGCGAGGAACCGGCCCCTGCTGTATTGACCCCGTCCCCTGGGTGCATGCTGGGGAGGGGTCACCCTTTGTGAGGAATGAAGAGATGGACCATCGCCTGGAAGTGGCCAGCAAATGGCCCTCGCCTATTTTACCTATCCGGCTTGATGGGCTCTGCCCTGGTCCCCCCCCTTCTGCCAGAGACCCTCAGATCTGTCCCACTCCTGCCCAGGCCCCCACAGGCCCCCTTGACGTGAATGATGTAGAGCTGCCATGCCCACCCAGTAGGCCACACCCCCTCCATCCACGCCCACCCAGTAGGCTGCACCCACCCTGGCCACACCCACCCGGCCCCCTGAGGGCAACCGCAATGCTGATGCCGCCCTTAATGAAATTGAGTTTGACACCCCTGTTGTAGAGAGTTGTTGAGGCCACCTGGAGGTTTACCTGTGTCCTCAGGGTCACCTGAGTGGTGCAAATGGGTGGGGAGCCTTCTCGGCTGCAGGATGGTTTCTGCCCTGGGTCCCTTCCCCGTTGAAGACGGGCACACAGGCTGTTGGGGATGAGTCTGTGTGGTCTGCATCTCCAAATGAAGCGCAAATGGATCCTGTATAGTCTGCCATGTTTTCTGGGAATCTTTTCCTCCTCCCACATCATTCGAAGTGTGTTCCTCCCAAAGTGCATGGCTAAAGGTCTATGGAGATTCTCATAGGCTCCCCACCCATTTGCACTGCTCAGGTGACCCTGAGGACACAGGTCAGCCTCCAGGTGGCCTCAACGTTTCTCTAGAACAGTGGTTCTCAACCTTTTTAATGCCGCGACCCCCAACGGATCGTAAGTCGAGGACTACTCAACTGGTCGTAAGTCGAGGACTACTCAACTGGTGCAGCACCGTTTGCAGAATGGGACTTTTGGCGGGCTCAGCAGGGCAGAGACAGCCTGGACAATTCCTATTGGCTTTGGAAAGCCAATAGAATTAGACTCTATTCAAGAGAGTCTATTCTATTGGCTTTTCAAAAGCCAATAGAATAAAAGGGAGTAGCACAGCTAAGGAAAAGGGGAGAAAAAATGGCGGACTGTGTTGTTTGGCGACCCCCGTGAAATGGTCGTTCGACCCCAAATGGGGTCCCGACCCACAGGTGGAGAACCACGGCTCTAAAAGAAGGCAAAGGACCGGCTGTCTGCAAGGAGTGTAAATCCTTCCATTTCCCACCATTCCAGTCAGAGCTGAAGAAGCTTCTGGGATGAGAAGCGAAACGTCTTCAGAGAAAAACAAGAAAGTCCAGTTGCCTCCTGAAAAAACACCTTTGGGACAACCGTGGACCTGGAGCATGGAGAATCTCCATAGCCCAGGGGTGTCAAACTCAATTTCATTGAGGGCCGCATCAGCATTGCGGTTGCCCTGGGGGGGCCAGGTGGGTGTGGCCAGGGTGGGTGCAGCCTACTGGGTGGGTGTGGATGGAGTGGGTGTGGCCTACTGGGTAGGCATGGCCAATTCTACATCATTCGCGTCAAGGGGGCTTGTGGGGGCCTGGGCAGGAGTGGGACAGATCTGAGGGTCTCTGGCAGAAGAGGGTGGGACCGGGGCAAGCATCAAGGCATGGTACATTTCTTCATTCCTCACAAAGGGTGACACCTCCCCAGCATGCACCCAGGGGGCAGGGCCGACGTGGCAGGGGCTGGTTCCTCGCTGTTTCCAAACGGCCTTGTGGAGCTAAGACTGAATGCCTTTCAGCATAGATGTTGTGGTTCCGGCTAATGAAACATTCCAAAGAACTTCCAGGCATTTATTTTCCTAAAAGTCTTTTAATGTTACAAAATGTCGGCACAGGCACAACGGAGGGATGCTAGGATCTAAGTTCTCTTCCTCTGAGCAGTTAAATTATCAGCCTGTTCCCTCCCTAAATTAGCCGTCATATCTCACGGCTATCCAATTAGTGTGAAGGTCAAATGTTTTCTTCCTCTTTCTTTCCCGGGCTTTACCCCCAACTGCCCCTTCTGCTCTTTATTAACCCCATATTTACCAGACAATACTGCATATTGTCAAAAGCAAGAATATACAATATTTGCAGCGTTGACAATAGATAGCCACCACAAAATTGTACATTGGCTCCCGGCTGGCCTGGGCCAGGGCCAAGGCAGCGGGGACCGTTCCCTCCCTGTTTCCATGTGAAACCACTTTGTGGGCCACATCTGGCTCCCGGGCCTTGTGTTTGACATATCTGGTATAGACAATCAGAATCATGCATGGTTTTCGCTCTGACCTTTCATGGACAGTTGGACTTTGAGAAAGAAGGTATTGATGTCTTTGAACTTTGGTGTTGGAGAAGACAACTAAGAAGAGTGAGGACAGCCAAGAAAAACCACCAACGTATCATTGAACAAATCAACCCGGAGCTCTCCCTCAAGACACAAATGACCAGGTTCAAATTCTCCTACTATGAAAGCATGATGTGAAGATCCAGCTCTCTGGAGAAGGCTTTGATGCTAGAAAAAGTGGAAGAGAGGAGAGGACAACCACAGCAAGGTGGAGGGACTCAGTGGCGATGGGAACATCACTGGAAGATCTGAAGGAACGTGTTGGGGACAGAATCCTTTGACATTAGAGGAGGCTCCCGAGAAGATGATGGACAGCCATGAAAACAAAGTGATGGACCATCAAACAAAACCAGCCAGTCTTCACTCAAAACATGGAGATGGAGGAGGAGGAGGAGGACTATGGAGTCATCAGCGCTCTCTGAGCTTGGTGGGTTTTTTGTAGATGTCCCATAACCCAACTAGAGAACACCAACAGTGTTTGAAGGGAGTGGGGTTTATGGAGAAGAGGAAGATGGGGAGGAGGAGGAGGAGGAGGAGAAGGAGGAGGAGGAGGAGAAGGAGGAGGAGGAGGAGGAGGAGAAGAAGAACAACAACAACAAGAACAAGAAGAAGAAGAAGAAGAAGAAGAACAACAACAACAACTATGGGATCCTTGGTGCACTCTGAACTTGGTGGTTTTGTTGCAGATGTTTCATTGACCCAACTAGGTAACATCTTCAGTGCTAGAAGGGAAGTGGGATTGTGGAATGGAGATGGAGGAGGAAGAGGAGGAGGAGGAGGAGGAGGCGGACTGATTGGAACACGCTGGGGACAGATCAATTCTTTGTGGTCACTAAGAGTTAACACCAAGTTGTCACCCAACTAAGGCACAAATGATCAGGCTCCAATTATATTGGAGTCATGTTATGGGAAGACCCATCTCTCTTGGCAAGCCCATAATGCTGGGAAGGTGGAAGGGAAAAAAAAAAAGCAACGGACCAGCCAGATGGATGGACTCAGTCACAGTGATGGTGAGGACACCTTTAGAAGACCTGAATGATCAGATTGGGGAGAGATCATCATGGAAAAATATCTATTTATATGGTCACTAAAAATCCAGGAATATCCCTTTCTTGTTTTAGGACAGTATTTCTCAACCTCGGTCACTTTAAGGTGTGTGTGTGTGTGTGGACTTCAACTCCCAGAATCCCCCAGCCAGAATGGCTGGCTGGAGAATTCTGGGAATTGAAGTCCACACAACTTAAAGTGATTGATGCTCAAACGAGACTAAGTTAAACAGCATTATGAGCCAGTAGGACAGTGATGGCGAACCTTTTAGAGACCGAGTGCCCAAACTGAAACCCAAAACCACTTATGTATCGTCGGGTGCCGGGTGGGCGTGGCCATTGGGTGGGCGTGGCCATTGGGTGGGTGTGGCCAATTGGGTGGGCATGATAACAGCAGACTGGGTGGGACTAAAAAGTTTAATCAATCAATTCCAACTTTGCGAGATCTTTTTTTTCCCCGCAAGAAGTTGAAATTGATTGATATATTGAACCTTTTTTTTTTGCACATGGCGACGGAGGCCTAAAGCAAAAAGGTTTTATAAAACCCAGCTGAAGGCCTAGGACTGGGGCGACGGCATACGTGCCCACAGAAAGAGCTCTACCATGGCAGTAGGACAATGATATATCTTTAATTTCCTGGTGACAAAGCTCACCTCTCCTTTGCTAATCCTGGCAATGCATCCACCATCTAACAAAAAAGTTTATTTTTGTAAAAATCCTGAGCCGCAAAATTAATCACTGTCCAAAATGGGAACAAAGAAGGAACAACAACAACAAAAAAGAAAACAAATCACAGATACTGTGCTTTGTGTTGTAAAAAAAAAATATAATAACGTAACAGCATTGCACATATTGGGAGATTCCATGGTTTTAAAAATGATTGTGTGGAGGTGTCTTAATCTGCTTACTCTGTGCTGTTAAGAATCATTCTTGAAATACAGTTAGCCCCCACTTACAGCCATTCGTTTAGTGACTGTTCAAAATTACAGCGGCACTGAAAAAAAAAGTGACTTGCAGCCAGTCCTCGCACTATGACCATCTCAGCATCCCTATGGTCACCTGATCAGTATTGGGTTGCTTAGCGACCAGCATGATTTTACAATAGTTACAACATTCCGTTGTCGTGTGATTGATATTTGTGACCTTACGAGCCGACTTCCGACAAGCAAAGTTAGTTGGGGAAGCCGGATTTGTTTAATGACAGCATGATTCACTTAACAACAGGAGCAAAAACTTGCAAAATTGGGCATGACTCACTTAACAACTGCCTCGCTTTACAACAGAAAGTCTGGTCTAATTGCGGTTGTAAGTCGAGGACCACCTATACATAAATGGCATGGAGTAACATTAGAGCTGCAAGCAGGATAATCGGTCTAAAGAGTCAAGATGGCACCCACAATAGCACAGTGGAATGTTTTACACACATCAAAAATTGGAGCTTTTGTTGTATCATGAAAGCTGCCCTCTTTACTTTTTTGACCACATCTGGGTCAAAACATTGCTGATGGAAATCACCAGTGGTCAACCAAACCTTCAACAGATTTCTTAAAACCAGGAATTTTTATCAGTGAATGTGTACAGAAGACACTTGGATTTATTCCAATGTGATTTTTTTTCCTTTTTAATATCTATTTTTATTTTATTCAAAAAAGGTTAAAATAGAAAACACCAATTTTTTTTTTTTGAAAAAAATTAAACACCTGGATTTATTCCAATGTGATTTTCCAAACGCCTTGAAAGGTGAGTTAAGTCTTTCCATCCCTTAACAACATCAAATGGGTGACCCCATCATTGGTCCAGGCTGATCGTAGAGGAGCAACTATCTTTGGAGATCAGATCCAAGGCTGAGTCACTCTTAGATCCTCTGGGATGAACGCTGATGAGTGAGCAGGACGCCCATTCGAATTGGCTGCCTTGTCTGGTCCTCCCGTGCTGCACAGCTCCGCCGTTCTCAGAGAAGGAGATGGATGACAATCCCCAAAATCAAGATGGCGACTGCTAACAGCAGTGCCAGTCCACGCCGGAAAACAAGGTGCCTGCAGGATAAGGCCCCTGGCATTGGGGAAACCATGAATGGGGGCATCTGTTCGCTGGGAATGGGCTGATGGTCCGCTAAGTTTTCGCCCTGGTGGACAAGACAACTGAGGGTATCTCCGTTGGGCACCTCCAGATTCATCACAAGATAATCTGTGTGCAGACCACATGCAAGGGATTAGAAATTGCAGATTGAGACGCTCGGCTTAACCGTTCGATGTTGGTGGCCAGGCAGTAGTCCTGGCCTTAGTACCACAAGGGAATCCCAAACTTCTATTGCTAAGCGAGATAGTTGTTAAGTAAATTTTGCCCCATGTTACCACCTTCCTTGCCAGCGTTGTTAAGTGAATCGCTGCAGTAGTTACGTTAGTGGCACAGTTGTTAAATGACTCTAGCTTCCCCATTGACTTTGCTGGTCAGAAGGTCGCAAAAGCTGATCACATGACCTGGCACACGGCAACTGTCATAAATACATGTCAGTTGCCAAGCCTCTAAAAAATTTTTTTTATATTGAAAATTTTTATTTTTTTCCATTTAAACATTATAAAAATACAATACAATTTTAAAATAAGATAAATTCATAACCATTGGTGCGGCCCGCCCATGCCCCCCAGGCCGCGTCCACCCTTTCTTAAAACATTCCCTACTTCCCTTCTCTTTCTCTCCTCCCCACCTACTCTTTTCCCCTCCCCCTCTCCTCTCAACACCCTACTTCCTCTCTACACCTTCTCTCCTCCCATCCCTATCAAACCCATGAACACAGCATAAAGGGAGTGCCTGGGGCCGCACTCCTATAAACAACCATTATCTATACTACACTTACCCCCCCTCTTACCCTCCCTCCCACCCCCAACCCCCCTCCCTCACTTCCCAGAGCAGAACACAGGGTTAATAATAACCAAATTTATAATAATGAAAAAGAAAAGAAAAGAAAAAAAGAAAAGAAAAAAGAAAATATCATAATTAACCTTTAACTCCATAACCTATAAGACAATTCTCTATAATATTTGTTATAATATTCATTCATAAAATAAGTGAAACTTTTTAATTCCATACTTTTTCTGAATATAATCTATCCATCTTCTCCATACAGTGATATATTTTTCTTGTGTATGATCCTTTAAATAAGCAGAGATTTTTGCCATTTCTGCAAGACTAGATACTTTAAATGTCCATTCTTCTAAAGTAGGCAAAGAATCTTTCTTCCAGTATAAACCTACTAATAAACTTGCTGCAGTTACTAAATTCAACATCAAGATAGTTTATTTTTCATTTAAATCAACGAAAATACTCAGTAAAAATAGTTGAGGAGTAAACTTTATCTTCCTTCTAAAAATCTAAAGCCTCTAAATTTTGATCATGTGACCCTGGGGATATTGCAATGGTAATGTGAAAAACGATCATACAGTCACTTTTTTCAGTGCCGTTGTTCACTTTGGAGAGGTGAGTTCTAGTCCTGCCTTAGCCATTAAATCCAGCCAGGTGATTTTCGGCCACTTCCTCCCTCTCAGCCTAACCACCTCACAGGGTTGTTGTTGTGGAGAAAACAGGAGAAGGAAGTGCATTGTATATGTTTGCCCCTTGAGTTATTTGCAAAAATAATCAAAGCGAACAACACGTTGCATGGAGCAAATCTAAAATGCAATCAACCCATAAATCATCTGAATAAACCTTGCAAGGTGCTTTTTAAAGACTCTCCAAACCTTTTTTCACACTGTTAAAAACACACACACACAGAGACACACATCGCACAAAGAGTAAGGGATAATAGGGTGTTTTTACCCGCACCGGAAGACTGCTGAGGACTTCCTAGTCGGTCTGTTAATCCAGCTCGGATCTGGGCCTGAGAGAGAGGAAAGAAACAAACAAGCAAAACAAAATTGGTCTCGTTTTGAACATTTTTGCGAAGAGCCAGCTGCCATAGTTCACGGCTTGCTGTTTTATTCTGAGTCAAGCCCATGAACCCATTCCTCAGCTGGCACTACTGAGGACAAAGCGCAATCAAACCTGCAGGCAAGAGATCTACCTCTTCGGCGGCTTTTTTCCAGTTCATGCGCAAGACGACAAGCAAAAAAGATGCCGCTTGCAGAGAGATGCAAACGATCAAACCGGTCCACAGGCCTGCAGGGAGAGTGAGAGGTTGGCTCTAGAACTGTGTTTCTCAACCTCTGAAGCTTTAAAACGGGTGGACTTCAACTCCCAGAATTCCCCAGCCAGCCTCCTCCCATTTTCCCCCATAATAGACCTACGAGGTAGGTTGGACCATAGTCGCTCTAGGAACTACTAAGCTGGGGAGGGCATGCTGACTGGGGAATTCTGGGAGTGAAAGTCCACCCCTCTTAAAGCATGTTGGCTGAGGAATTCTGGGACTTGAAGTCCACCTATCTTAAAAACTGCTGAGGTTGAGAAACATTGTTTTAGGTAGTGAGTTTGGCCATGGGACTCACTTCCACCAGTTGGGGAGGGACCAATTGTGATCTTCCTAAAGGGATCTTTCAGATTCTATTCTATTCCATTCCATTCCATATATTCTATTCTATTCTATTCCATTCCATTCCATTCCATTCCATTATTCTATTCTATTCTATTCTATTCTATTCTATTCTATTCTATTCTATTCTATTCTATTCTATTCTATTCTATATGCTATTCTATTCTATTCTATTCTATTCTATTTTATTCTATTCTATTCTATTCTATTCCATTCTTTCATTATTCCATTCCATTTCATTCCATTAATCCATTCCATTCTATTCTATTCCATTCCATTATTCTATTCTATACTATTCTATTCTATTCTATATGCTATTCTATATGCTATTCTATTCCATTCCATTCTTTCATTATTCCATTCCATTCCATTCCATTCAATTCCATTCCATTATTCTACTTCTACTCTATTCTATTCTACTCCATTCCATCTTCTACTTCTACTTCTACTTCTATTCTATTCTATTCTATTCTATTCTATTCTATTCTATTCTATTCTATTCCATCTCAATCACTGTTTGAGGCACATCTGGCTGGTGTTCCTGACAGTCCCATAGACCAAGCCGAACATCTGGAGTGCAGCTTGCAAAGGAAAATGGCATTTGGTGGCTGGCTCACCCATTACACCAAGCTTGTACACGAACATCAGCGTAATCCCGATGGGCAATCCGATGACGTAGTAGCCTACCGCGTTGGCGATGGCGCCAATTTTCTGCTTGCCGGCACCCCTCAGCACACCTCCGCAAGTGGCCTGGCGAACAGAGGCAGAGCAGAGAGATTAGGGAGATTCTCTAAGAGAGTCTCCCGAAGGGTTTTTTTTGATCCGGAGACGAGGATGGATTAAAAACCTCACTCAGCTGGCCTACCTCACAAGGTTATCGTCCTGAGAACAGGCACATTCTGTCGAGCTGCTTGAAGGTAGCCCAGGGAATGTGGTTGGCCGAAGGACACAATTCCATTTTGAAAAATGGATACGGGTTCAAACCATCCACCTGTAGGGGAGACTCTCCTGGTGTATCTCTGGATGATGCCCTGTTCTGGCTTCCCAGCTAGTACAGATAGTCCTTGACTTACAACAGTTCATTTAGTGACCATTCAAAGTGTGTCTCTGGATGATGCCCTGTTCTGGCTTCCCAACTAATACAGATAGTCCTTGACTTACAACAGTTCATTTAGTGACTGTTCAAAGTGTGTCTCTGGATGATGCCCTGTTCTGGCTTCCCAACTTGTACAGGTAGTCCTAGTATTGGCTACCATCAGGTGAAGGAAAGCTACCTGAGACCAACCTGAGCAAGTTGTGCTTCCTTTTTCTGGTTATTTGGCTATACCTTTTCATAGAATACAGTACAGATAATTGAACAAACTTTGTCGCATTGCATTCTTGATTAAATTACCTTTCCACTGATATATAATTTTATGGTACTACTCCAAAAAAAAAGGAGGGGGGGTGGTGTTATTAGCCATCAAACCTAAAAATTACACTTTTCCCAAAAGGTTTCCACAATTTTGGCCACTACTGTAGACATACCCAATTCCAGCAACCGTTCTTTATATGGAGGCTAAAACATATAAGGAACAGTTGCTGGAATTGAGTATGTCTAATTCAATGAAGAGAAGGACAAGGGAGGACATGATAGCAGTCTTCCAATATTTGGGGGCCCTTCGCAAAGAGGGGAGTCAACTTATTCTCCAAAGCACCTGAAGGCAGGACAAAAAGCAACGGATGGAAACTCATCAAGGAGAGAAGCAACGTAGAACTAAGGAGAAACTTCCTGACAGTGAGAACAATTAACCAGTGGAACAGCCTGCCTCCAGAAGCGGTGAATGCTCCAACAATGGAAGTTTTTAAGAAGAGACTGGACAGCCATTTGTCTGAAATGGCATAGGGTTTCCTGCCTGAGCAGGGGGTTGGACTAGATGACCTCCAAGGTCCCTTCCAACTCGGTTATTCTACTTCTAATCAGATTGCATGTGTGAATCTGCAGAGAACCCCATCGAAAGAGGAACCCTGAGCTTCACAGCTCCTAAGATTGTTTTCTTCCACCCTGATCGTCTGCACATACTTTCAAGTTTTGCCAGTGCTAGGACTCCCCTAAGGGCCAAAATAAAAATAAAATCAAGAATAAAAAAAATATATTTATCCAGGAACTACGATTTCCACAGGAATGGGTTCTATTTGTAGTCATGAGGACTAGAAACCTGTTCGAATAAACAGGAAAGGCTTTTTACAAAGCCCATTTGGCTCCCCCCCATCACACCCCACCCAGGGGCTTTGCAACCGCCATAAACTCACCGCGGTGGCATCGAACAGGTGAAAAGGGGAAAAGATTAGCATCACTTTGGACACCAAAGACACGATCTCTCTATTGAGGGAAGAAAAAAATAATATTATTAGGAGATCTGAGTTCTAAAGTCTGCCCAGGAAAAAGCTCATTGGAGGATGTACAGGTAGTCTTAGATTTACAACCCTTCATTTAGCATCCGTTCAAAGTTACAACAGCGCTAAAAAAACCCCAAACCAACCATTTATGACCAGTCCTCGCACTTACGACCGTCGCATCATCCGCCTGGTCCTGTGATCAAAATTGGGATGTTTGGCAAGTGGCCAGTATTTATAATATGGCGGTCGCCATTTTGCGACCTTCCAACAAACAAACTGAAAAGGGGAAGGCAGATTCATTTAACGACTGGGTGATTCGCTTAATGGCCTAAAAAGAAAAAAAAACGAGGTGGCCAAAATTTCCCTTAAGGCAAAATTCTGGGGTTAGGACCCTGAAGCGAATCAAGTAGCATCCATTCAACGCTACGTTGGTTTTCTTTTCATTAGACGTATCACTAGAAGCAAATGGGTGGAGTTGTTCTGACGTGCTGGATTGTGTCTGTGGAGGAGACACCGCTGTGACCCACAAAGAGGGGCAACTGGCATCCTCTCCCCCCAGGAACACGAGGAAGTTCACAAAATGCAATTGTGTAACTCTCAGTGTGTGTGTGTGTGTGTGTGTGTGTGTGTGTACACGGCCATCACAAGTTGGAAGATGCTTCATAAGTAGCTTTTGGAGGCTCCGTCATAACTCAAGAACGGGCGTAAATCCGGGACTACCTGTACGGGCAGAGGGGCAACGGGCAGACTCCCTTTCATTCGTCCCCCTCCTGGGGTATCTTGAGAAGAGAGATAATGAAAAGAGGGCCTTACAGGTCGTTGGTGAAGATGTAGGCCACCACGTCCTTCACAGCTGCCAGCAGCCCAGCGAAAACCACCGCAAGAACCCCTGTGAAGGGAGAGAGAAGGTGGGTCCCATGCTGGGGGGGGGGAAATGTTTCATCTCCGTTCGGGGGGGGGGCATCTTCAATGCGGTTGCATACTGTATATCCATTCATCTCTATCTATCTACCTACCTATCCATCCATTCATCTCTATGCATCTATAGATAGATAGGTAGATAGATGAGAGAGAGAGAGAGAGAGAGAGAGAGAGAGAGAGATGATAGATAGATGAATGGATGGAGATAGATAGATAGATAGATAGATAGATAGATAGATAGATAGATAGATAGATAAATAGATGATAGATGGATGGATGGATGGATGGATGATAAATAGGTGAATGGATAGAGAGAGATGATAGATAGATAGATAGATAGATAGATAGATAGATAGATAGATAGAAAAAAAGATGGATAAATGAATGGATGGATGGATGGATAAATGATAAATAGATGAATAGATAGAAAGATAGATGATAGATAGATAGATAGATAGATAGATAGATGATAAATACATGATAAATAGATGAATGGATAGATAGATAGATGATAGCAATAGATAGATGGATAATGGATGGATGGATAAATGATGAATAGATGGATAGATAGATGGATGGAGATAGATAGATAGATAGATAGATAGATAGATAGATAGATAGATAGATAGATAGATAGATAGACATGGGCATATGATAAATAGATGAATAGATAGATAGATAGATAGATAGATAGATAGATAGATAGATAGATAGATAGATAGATAGATAGATAGATAGATAGATAGATAGATAGATAGACATGGGCATATGATAAATAGATGAATAGATAGATAGATAGATAGATAGATAGATAGATAGATAGATAGATAGATAGATAGATAGATAGATAGATAGATAGATAGATATGGGCATATGATAAATAGATAGATAGATAGATAGATAGATAGATAGATAGATAGATAGATAGATAGATAGATAGATAGATAGATAGATAGATAGATATGGGCATATGATAAATAGATGAATGGATAGATAGATAGATGATGATATACATGATAGACAGATATCTATCTAATCTATCTATACTGAACTATCCCTCCCTCCATCCATCCTTCTATCCCTTTATCCATCCATCCATCTCTATCAGAAGGATCTACATGGTTTCTGAGGCTCTCCTAAACTAGCAGGCTCTTTGAGGTCTTCTAGTCTAACCCCTTTGCTCAGGGCAAGCGCCCACCAAAGCTGTGCTCCTTAACCTTAGCCACTTTAAGATAGGTTAATTTCAACTCCCAGCATTCCCCAGCGGGCATGAATTGGAACTTCTCCACCCCCCCCTTCCAGGGCTTAAAGAGTCATATATACTCACCGGTGCAAAGGAGGGCCATAATGCATGACCTCTTAGCCTGGTCAACATCTCCGGCGCCTAAGGCGTTACCCACGCGGACACTGGAAGCCACGCTCATCCCCTGTGGTAGCTGAGAAGAAGCTTCTGTGAGTGGTTTTTGCACCAGTTTGGAGATTTTTCTTTTGTGCAAAGTCAATCAGGGTTAACCTCTAACCCAGTGTTTCCCAAACTTGACAATTTTAAGGCATGTGGACTTCAACTCCCAGAATTCCAGAGCCAGCGTTGCTGGCTGTGGAATTCTGGGAGTTGAAGTCCTCATGCCTTAAAATTGTCAAGTTTGGGAAATACTGCTCTAACCCAACAAAAGGCATACGAGCAGTCCTTGACTTACAACCGTTCATTTAGTGACTGTTCAAAGTTACAACGGTGCTGAAAGAAGTGCCTTACGATCATTTTTCACACTGATGGGCATTGCAGCATCCCCATGATCACGTGACCTATACTCGGACGCTTGGCAACTGGTTCATATTTATAACGGTTGCTGTGTCCCAGGGAGGGTCATGTGACCCTCTTTTGCGAGCTTCCGAGAAGCCAAGTCAATGGGGAAGCCAGATTCATTTAACAACTGTGACAAGAAAGGTCATAAAATGGAGCAAGACTCACTTAAAAACTGTCTTGCTTAGCAATAGACGTTTTGGACTCCATTGTGATTCTAAGGCCAGGACTACCACATGTCCACCAGCATCAGATGGTTAAGCCGAGCGCATCAATCTATAACAGCGGTTCTCAACCTGTGGGTCATGACCCCATTTGGGGTCGAACGACCATTTTATGGGGGTCGCCAAACAACGCAGTCCGCCATTTTTTCCCCCTTTTCCTTAGCTGTGCTACTCCCTTTTATTCTATTGGCTTTTGAAAGCCAATAGAATAGACTCTCTTTAATAGAGTCTAATTCTATTGGCTTTCAAAAGCCAATAGGAATTGTCCAGGCTGTCTCTGCCCTGCTGAGCCCGCCAAAAGTCCCATTCTGCAAACGGTGCTGCACGTTGTCTGCAGCGAAGGCGAGCTGTCTGGAAGCTTCCACCCCTCCCTGCTGAGCAACTACTAAAAATGTAAGTAAAAGAGGGCCAGGGGTGGGAGGTGGGAGGCCGGCGGGCGCAGGGAGGGTTGCTGGCGCGCGTGGGGCCCGGCGGGTGCCTTACCTCCCTTGGGCTGGGCCAGCTGGTGGCCCAGCCGGTGGTCGGCCTGCGCCGTCTCTGCCGCTTGCCAGCTACGCCTCAGCTGGCGCAGGGGGCAGCACCACGCATGCATGGCGCTCCCGGGCAGGGAAAGTCCTCGACTTACGACCGGTTGGGTAGTCCTCGACTTACAACCAGTTGGGGGTCGCGGCATTAAAAAGGTTGAGAACCACTGGTCCATAACTTCTCATCCCTTGCATGTGGTCTACACTCAGAGTAATCATGTTACTCACTTAACATCTGCCGTGATTCCCTAAACCAGTGCTTTTTAACCAGTGGTACGGGTACCACCTGTGGTCCATTGGCACCTGGCAGGTGGTACACAAGCATCCTAGAAAAGTGGTAGCGGGGGAGGGGAATGAGCTGAACTGGCGGCAGCACCACACAAGCCTGAGCGAGAGACGGCTGGAGCTGCAGGGCTGTCAGGGCTCAGCGGAAGCATGAGGATCAGCGCCAGGCTCCAGCTGGAGCTCAGTGCTGATCCTGGTGCTTCTGCTGAGCCCAGAAGAAGCGCCGATCAGCTGGAATGTTGCAGCCTTTCCAGGGTCTTGTGATTTTCATTCAGATGCTTGGCAACCGATTCATATTTATGATGGTCACAGTGTCCCAGGGTCATGTGAAGTGACCAAAACCAGCTGCAACCACCCAGCATATGGGGGAATAAAAACCAAACACCCCCCCCACCCACCCCCGCTGCCAATCCTCAACAGAAATGCTCACAACAATGAAAACCTCGGACAGGAGGAAGAGCACCGCCAGGTGCGCAGGCAGGTGTCTTGCTCTGCTGTGGCTTGGGGGGGCACTTTTTTCAGTGCCATTGTAACTTCGAACAGTCACTAAGCAAACTGTTGTAAGTCGAGGACTACCTGTACTTTATCACTTTTTTCTTTTTGGGGGGGGGTCATCAAGTTTTTGACACCTTGCTAGGCGACAGGTGGTCCTCGGATGTTGCCATATCCTTAAAGTGCTACAGTGGGTGAAAAAGTTGAAAAGCCCTGCCCTAAACAACTGCAGCAAGAAAGGTCATAAAATGGGGCAAAACCCGCTTAACAAATGTCTCACTTAGCAACAGAAATGCTGGGCTCAATTGTGGTTGTAAGTCGAGGACTACCTGCATAAACTGCCATGTTTCTTGCTTCTCACGCTATTGGTGTTAATTCTTTTTCAGAATTTGGCAAATTCTTACCAGATACGCGATGGTCGACAGTTCGTAGATGATGGATTGAGCCCCTAATTCAACCGTACTCATTAATCCTTAGGGGAAAGAAACATGGTTGAGATCCAGAAGCATTACACAAAAAAAGCAGCATATAATATTTTTTTTATTAAATTTTTATTTTATTTTTAACCAACAAAACAAAACAAAACAAAGCAAAACATAACACACATACACACACATACACCTTTTTTAACAGCGATTACGTAACAGTAATCTTCTATTATTTACATTTCCCCCCTTACTCTTCTTTAGAATATTTGTCCTTACTGCCCCGTTGTTTATTTACATTTTTCTTCCTTCATATTCTACTTCTTACTAAGAATAATTCATATTATTATTATTATACATTATTATACACATATTTTCACTTTTGACCTTTCCATATTTATTCTCCTCTATTATTTCTAGTCTCCAACCAGTCATACAACTTGTTCCATGTTATATAGTACTCTGTGTCTTCCTTTTCTTTTATCTCTTTTGTTAATTTGTCCATCTCAGCACAGTCTAGGATTTTTCTTATCACTTCTTCCTCTGATGGTATATTCTCATTTTTCCAGCACTGTGCATATGCTATTCTTGCCGCCGTTATTATATTTCGCAGGGCCATGCTAATCTTCTCTGTATCGTTTCAATTTTAGTATATGTGCTGCCGAAGCGAGCATATAAATTTAATGGCAATAACAATCATACATCTGCGAGAAATACAGGTAGTCCTCAAACTTATGACCATAAATAAGCCCAAAACTTCCATTGCTAAGCAAGACAGTAGTTTTGAGTTTTGCCCGATTGGACGACCGTTCTTGTTGTGGTTGTTTAGTGAATCACTGCAGATGTTAAGTGAGTAACACGGTTGTTAAGTGGATCTGGAGTCCACATTGACTTTGCTTATCAGAAGGTCACAAAAGGGGATCACATGGCCCCCAGGACACGGCAACCGTCATAAATATGAATCAGTTACCAAGCATCTGAATGTTAATCATGTGACTATGGGGATGCTGCAAAGGCCGTAAGTGTGAAAAATGGTCATTGTCAGAAAGTCGCAACAGGGGATCATGTGACCCTGAGACACTGCAACCGTCATAAATAGAAACCAGTTGTCAAGCATCCGAATTTTGATCACATGACCATGTGAATGCTGCAGCATTGTGAGAAATAGTCGGTAAGTCCCTTTTCCAGTGCCGTTGTAACTTTGAACGGTCACTAAATGAATGGTTGTAAGTGGAGGACCAACTGCTCCATTTGCCTGCGACAAAGTCATAGAAAATGAAGAAATAGAACAGAATAGAATAGAATAGAAAATAGACTAGAAAATAGAATGGAATGGAATGGAATAGAATAGAATAGAAAATAGAATAAAATGGAATGGAATAGAATAGAATAGAATAGAATAGAATAGAATAGAATAGAATAGAATAGAATAGAATAGAAAATAGAATAAAATGGAATGGAATGGAATAGAACGGAATAGAATAGAATAGAATAGAATAGAATAGAATAGAATAGAATGGAATGGAATAGAATAGAATAGAATAGAATAGAATTAGAATAGAATAGAAAATAGAATAGAATGGAATAGAATAGAATAGAATAGAAAATAGAATAGAATAAAATGGAATGGAATGGAATGGAATGGAATAGAATAGAATAGAATAGAATAGAATAGAATAGAATAGAATAGAAAATAGAATAAAATGGAATGGAATGGAATGGAATAGAATAGAATAGAAAATAGAATAAAATGGAATGGAATAGAATAGAATAGAATTAGAATAGAATAGAAAATAGAATAGAATAGAATAGAATAGAAAATAGAATAGAATAAAATGGAATGGAATGGAATGGAATAGAATAGAATAGAAAAGTAGGAAGGGATTTTAGAGGTCTTCTAGTCCAACCTTCTACTCAGGCAGGAAACCCTATAACTGAAGGGCTCTGGGATTTTAGAATTCAAACAGATAGGCAGCTGCTACACAAGCCCCCCCCCCCCCCCCGGCTTAACAACTGTTGATAAGAAAATCCAGAAAATCCGGATAGTGGATGTGGCAGCACTGGGAGACAGCAGAGCAGAAGAGGAAGAAATGGAAAAGATCACAAAATGAAAACAGAACGACCGCGGCAAAAGAAAGTAAAGGTAGTATCAGTATATTCAACAAGATATTTAATATATGAGAGGCCTCTTGGGTGCCATCCCAAAACATCTGCAGCACCACTCGAACCCCATCGGCATTGAAAAAAATTCACCATCGATCAATTGCAAAAGGCAGCTTTACTCAGAACAGCTGACATCCCGCGACAAAAGCTTTAAATATTATTCGACATCTGTCTATCCCAGGTTCTATCTGTCTATCCCAGGTTCTTGAGAAGGAACTTGACCAGTAGACAGAAACCTGCCAAATCCGGTCTGAACATCTGGCTGACGGTGGGACCGACTATCCGCATCATCACGGAAAGTGAAAGTGAAAGTGAAAAACTTTGGATCCGCAACTGCATCAACCAACAGGAACCAGACAATCCGAAGGAGTGCCATGTTGTCAGGGCCCATGCAGAGCAGTTTGGGGGGGGTTAGTTGCGGTCATTAAGTGGAGGAGTACTTATACGGCAGTCCTCGACTTACAGCGGTTCATTTAGTGACCGTTCAAGGTTACGACGGCACTGAAAAAAGGGACTTGTGACCATTTTTCACACTTAACGACCGTTGCAACCTCCCCATGATCGCGTGATCAACATTCAGACACTTGGCAACTGACTCGTATTTATGACGGTCGCAGCATCCCAGGGGGGGGGTCACGTGATCCGCTTCTGCAACCTTCTGAGAAGCCAGATTCACTTAACAACCGTGTGACTCACTCAACGATTGCAGTGATTCACTTAACAACTATGGGGTTGTAAAACGGGACAAAACTCACCTAACAAATGTCTCGCTTAGCAACATAAATCATGTGTGGTCGTATGTCGAGGACTACCTGTATAACGCCACCGAACCGTAGAGTGACTCGCCCAGAGAGACAACGGCCCCTGCTGGCCGAGAGAGAAAAGGGGTGTGGGGGTCTCACCTGCGAGGAAGCTGCCAATCTCAAAAGTCCACCACTCAATGCAGATCATAAACATGCTGGGCAGGGCCAGCCGGACGAAGGGACCCCATTCCTGCAGACAGTCCATCGTCCAGCCTGTAAAACACAAGGGCTTCCATGTCAGGGCGAGGGCCTTGTCTGTCTGTGTCTGTTTGTCTGTGTGTTTTATGTGTGCGTGTGTCTGAATAACAGACTAACAGAGTCGGAAGGGACCCTGGAGGTCTTCTAGTCCAACCCCCTGCTCAAGCAGGAGACCCTATACTATTTCAGACAAATGGTTGTCCAATTTCTTCATATAAACCTCCAGTGTTGGAGCAGTGGCTGAGTGTGTGTCTGTGTGTCTGTATCTGTGGGTCTATATCTGTGGGTCTATGTTGCATCTGTGTGTCTGTGTGTCTATGTTGTGTCTGTGTGCCTGTGTTGTGTCTGTGCGTCTATGTTGTGTCTGTGTATCTCTGTGTGAGTCTATGTGGATCTGTGGGTCTATGTTATGTCTGTGTGTCTGTTGTCTCTGTGTCTCTGTGTGTGAGTCTATGTGGATTGTGAGTCTATGTTGTGTTTGTGCATCTATGTTGTATCTGTATATCTGTGTATGAGTCTATATGGATCTGTGGATCTATGTTATGTCTGTGTGTCTGTTGTGTCTGTGTATCTGTGTGTGAGTCTATGTGGATCTGTGAGTCTATGTTGTGTCTGTGCATCTACGTTGTGTCTGTGTATCTGTGTGTGAGTCTATGTGGATCTGTGGGTTATTGTTATGTCTGTGTGTCTGTTGTGTCTGTGTATGTGTGTGTATCTATGTTTGTGTCTAAGTTGTGACTGTATGTCTGTTGTGTCTGTGTATGTGTCTATATTTTGCTTGTATATCTGTCTGTGTCTATGTTGTGTCTGTGTATTTATGTTGCGTCTGTGTATGTCTGTGTCTCTGTGTGTCTATATTATATTTGTGTATCTGTCTGTGCCCATGTCTGTGTGTCTATGTTGTGTCTGTGTGTCTATGTTGTGTTTGTGTATCTGTGTCTGTGTGTCTATATTGTGTTTGTGTATCTGTCTGTCTCTATGTGTCTATGTTGTGTCCACGTGTCTATGTTATGTCTGTGTATCTACTTGAGTGTCTGTGTTTCTGTGTGTGTGTGAGGAGGTGTGTGTCTCTGTGTGTGCTTTGTTATACAGGTTTCTTGTAGCCCAGCCAGGATTACCTTTGGTGAGATGAGTGGCCATATAAATCAAATTAAGAGAATAAATGAATAAATGTCTGAAAATGGATCATTACTTCTCACGAAAATAAAAGAGTGGAGGAAAAAAAAGTGTTTCTAGCTGTGCCCGTGATTCTCTCAACCCTCCCTGCCCAGGTCACAAAAATATTCTGCTTTTCTACTACCTCCCCAGGTCTCCTTGTGGATCTTTCTCCACCAGATGAAGAGGAAGAGGAGAAACGCTTGCAGATTCTGTGAAAGGGTGTTGGCCCAGGCTGAACCTCTGTGGGAGAGAGAGAGAGAAAGAAAGAAAGAAAGAAAGAAAGAAAGAAAGAAAGAGAGAGAGAGAGAGGGAGGGAGGGAGGGAGGGAGGGAGGGAGGAAGGAAGGAAGGGAAAGAAAGTCAGAGAGAAAGAAAGGAAGGAAGGAAGGAAAGAAGAGAGAAAGAAAGAAAGAAAGAAAGGAAGGAAGGAAGGAAGGAAGGAAGGAAGGAAGGAAGGAAGGAAGGAAGGAAGGAAGGAAGAGACAGAGAGAGAAAGGAAGGAAGGAAGAAAGAGAGAGAGAGAAAGGAAGGAAGAGATAGAGAGATAGAAAGAAAGGAAGGAAGGAAGAAAGAAAGAAAGAGACAGAGAGAGAGAGAAAGGAAGGAAGAAAGAAAGAAAGAGACAGAGAGAAAGAAAGGAAGAAAGAAAGAAAGAAAGAAAGAAAGAAAGAAAGAGAGAGAGAGAGAGAGAGAGAGAGAGAGAGAGAAAGTAAGTAAGTTAATCTTAATGTTTGGCCATCTTGTCTGATTGAACTCACGAGAGCTAGGAACTTCATTCGTATGACAGGGGGTCTTCAACTTACGACCACAATTGAGTCCAAAATTTCTGTTGCTAACAAGGCAGCTTCTAAGAGAATTTTGCCCCGTTTTACGACCTTGCTTGCCACGGTTGTTAAATGAATCACTGCAGTGGTTAAATTAGCAACACGGCTGTTAAGTGAATCTGACTTCCCCACTGACTTTGTGCCAGAGCGTCTGTTTATACATAGCAGATCAGATCAAACAAAGGGCACCGTCACCATGTGCATTACTGCTTAACTGTTTTAACTGTAACAGGAAACAGGAAACTCTGCTTAGGACAAAAGACCATAATGCATATACCAAAGGTGCTTTTTTCCGAGGCAACTGGACTTTCTTTTTTTTTCTTTGAAGACATTTCGCTTCTCCTCCAAGAAGCTTCTTCGGCTCTGACTGGATGGCGGGGAATGGAAGGATTTATACTCCTTGCAGACAGCCGGTCCTTTGCCTGCTTTTATAGCAGTGGTTCTCAACCTGTGGGTCGGGACCCCATTTGGGGTCGAACGACCATTTCACGGAGGTCGCCAAACAATGCAGTCCACCATTTTTTTCCCCTTTTCCTTAGCTGTGCTACTCCTTTTTATTCTATTGGCTTTCAAAAGCCAATAGAATAGACTCTCTTGAATAGAATCTAATTCTATTGGCTTTCAAAAGCCAATAGGAATTGTCCAGGCTGTCTCTGCCCTGCTGAGCCCGCCAAAAGTCCCATTCTGCAAACGGTGCTGCACCAGTTGAGTAGTCCTTGACTTACGACCGGTTGAGTAGTCCTTGACTTACGACTGGTTGGGGGTCGCGGCATTAAAAAGATTGAGAACCACTGTTTTATAGAGTCATTGAGGCCACTTGGAGTTTTGTCTGTGTCCTCAGGGTCACCTGATTGGTGCAAATGGTGTGGAGCCTCCTTGAAACTGTGGAAAGGACTGTGTTGTAGACTGGAGATAGATGTCGTCATGTCCCCCCCCCCCTCTGTTGAGAGAGGGTGACCTAGATGGCCTCTTGGACCCCTCTTTCAAGCCAGCGGTCCTCTCTGTCCAAAATGTGGACTTTGCTGTCTTCGAAAGAGCGGCCTTCGTCTCTTAAATGCAGATGGATGCTGAATCTTGTCCTGATGGGTTTGTTCACCCATGTTGTGCCGTGCGTTTGTGAAGTGGTCGTTTTGTTTCCCCGACGTACAGATCTGCACACGGCTCACTGCAATGTACTGCATATACCACGTTGCTTAGGGTACATTGGGCAAACAAAACAACCACTTCATAAATCCTTCCATTCCCCACCATCCCAGTCAGAACTGAGGAAGCTTCTTGGAGGAGAAGCGAAACGTCTTCAAAGAAACAACAAGGAACTCCAGTGGCCTCGGGAAAAAGCACCTTCGGGACAAACCATGACCTGGATGACCGAGAATCTCCACCGACATGAAAGAGCATTAGGTTTTGAACTCGGGCCGGCTGACCAACGGGAAATCTGTCGCGCTTACACCACGCCCAGCTTGAAGATGTGCAAGAAGACGGCATTCATGATCACGTTCAACACATTCACCACCACGCCGGTCACCACCTGAGGCAAGAGGACAGCCTGGAATGGAGATAAAAGGAGAACTTGAACACAAGGCAGGTTTAAGCACTGCTGCAGGGCAGGGGGGGTTCAATGGGTTGAACGACGGAGCAGGGGCCCCTTGTAGGCCTCTGGCTTGAGACTGCTGACTTTGGGGAGAGAAACGGGGTGTCGTTTAATCAGGACTGTGGGGCCATGTCAATCAATCAGAATAGAGCTGGAACGGAACTTGGAGGTCTTCTAGTCCAACCCCCTGCTCAGGCAGGGAACCCTATCCCATTGCAGCAGACAAATGGCTGTCCAGTCTCTTCTTAAAAACCTCCAGTGATGGAGCACCCACAACTTCTGGAGGCAGGTTGTTCCACTGGTTAATTGTTCTAACTGTCAGGAAATTCCTCCTTAGTTCCAGGTTGCTTCTCTCCTTGGTTAGTTTCCATCCATTTCCTTCCTTCCTTCCTTCCTTCCTTCCTTCCTTCCTTCCTTCCTTCCTTCCTTCCTTCCTTCCTTCCTTCCTTCCTTCATCATAGAATTCTAGGGTTGGAAGGGACCTTGGAGGTCATCTAGTCCAGTGGTTCTTAACCTTTTTGAACGAATCGCCCCCTTGAGCCAATGAGGAAGTCGTCATCGCCCCCCTCCCCCAACATAACCTCTCAATCACAACATAGGAAATAATTCTTCAATTTATGCAAACACTTTTTTTGTTTTCTTTAAAATTGTCATCAGGACATATCGATGCAAATAATTTATTTCCAGTCTTTTCCTCCCATATCTCCCCTATTCTGGCCAAGGGCGCGCCACTGTATGGGTAGAGGCTGCTGCGCAATGCACATGAAGATAAGCAATGCATCTTCTCATATGTACGGCGTTCCGTGTTGAAGCTAGCTGGAACAACATTTGAAAACACAATTCAGTCCACTAATAGCGAGGGATCTGATGTTTTCGTACGACAGATATACAGCCATTCACTGTACGAAAAAGTCTCAAAAGTGTCCCCAAAACGTCTCGCTCCATCGCCCCCATATCGCCCCCTTTTCGTTCCTTTGCCCCCCTGAAAAATGAAATCGCCCCCTGGGGGGCAATATCGCCCAGGTTAAGAACCACTGATCTAGTCCAACCCCCAGCTCAGGCAGGAAACCCTATCCCATTGCAGACAAATGGCTGTCCAGTCTCTTCTTAAAAACTTCCAGTGTTGGAGCATTCACCACTTCTGGAGGCAGGTTGTTCCACTGGTTAAGTGTTCTCACTGTCAGGAAATTCATTTCCAGGTTGATTCATTTCCATCTGCTGCTTCTTGTCCTGCCTTCAGGTGCCTTGGGGAATAGGTTGACCCCCCCCTTCTTCTTCGTGGCGGCCCCTCAAATATTGGAACGCTGCTATCATGTCTCCCCATTAGTCCTTCCTTTCTCTAGACAGGCCATACCCAAATCCTGCAACTGTTCTTCATATTTTTGTGTCTCCGGACTTTTAATCATCTTAGTTGCTCAATTGTCCTTCTCTGCACTTGGCAAGATGGACGTTAAGTTTAATAATCAGTAAAAATTAATTTGATGAATAAAGTTTATTTAGAATTCTTTATTCTTGATTGGCCAAGTGTGATTGGACACGTAAGGGATTTGTCTTCGGTGTGGAAGCTCTCAGTGTGCATACAAACAACTAAGTGATAGGTATTTACTCATGTAGTAGGGCTGTATTGCTATTATCCTTCTCATCGTCTCATCTATCCTACACCCTTCTCCTATTGGTATCTTATGATTTATCCCTTGTTGTTTGTATCTTATGATTAGTGATTGTAACTATGATCTATGATATATAACCGATCATTTTGTTCTTTGCATGTACACTGAGAGCTGTTCTATCCCAGCCTATAGCCGTCCTTGTTAAAGGCACAAGGGCCAAACCCCTGTTGATAAAATAGGCTGGAGACTTTAAAAGAAAACAAACCCCTTTTAATATGGGTGACAAACCTGCCAAAGAGTCCAAAACACAAACAGCAAAACTCAAGTCCAAATGAAGGAAATAGTCCACAGGAAACACAATGCAAAGAGAAGAGTAGTCACAAGCAAGACGAACAGACCAGGATCCCAAGAAGCACTTTGCAAAGGGTTGCCTTCAGCAACCAGCACCGCCCACATCTCCTCTTTTTATACAGCAATCCCAAGGCGTTGCCTCTCATTGTCTTCTCCTTTTACTCTGGAGTTGCCGTATTGACTGCTGCTGATTTACTCTCGCTAATTGACGACGTGTGCGAGCATCAATTAGCAAGTCCATCAGATGTGAGTCCTCTGAGTCTGACTCATTCTCCTCACACAGCTGAGCTTCATCAGGAACACGACTGGAGGGCCCAGGCTCTGCATCCAACCGTGAGTCCTGTAATTCATCAGAGCCTCCCTCTGCCCTTGATGGCCCTTCAAATGCCTCCTCCACCTCCTCCTCAGATTCCTCAGACTCCGCTGTTGGGAGCACAGGCTGGCACGGAATCACAACAAGAGCTTCTGCGCCGTACACAAATTGCTTGCGTGTCCAATCACACTTGGTCAATAAAGAATTCTATTTCGTTCCATTTCAGCATTGTCCTAATCCGCTGCTTTTGAGGTACGGTTGCCTCCCCCAGCAAATTCTGCTTTTAACAATAAAGTAAAAGGCATACAATACCTGACTTTGCAAATAGCGTGTTTCCAGCTGGTAGATGAACGCCGCCTGTGAATGCATCCCAAACGTAGTAAGTTAGTTTCTTTGACTGAAAATCAGTTTCATGATTATCTATTTTAATTTAATTTAAATTAAATTGTCTTTCACCTATCAAGTCAGGTCTCAGCTAACAAGCCATAATGTGTCCTTAACAAACAGGCCGTTTTGCGCACTTTCCAAAGGCGACAGTCCTGTTCACACAACCAATAGATGAAACAGATTCCTTGGAACCTGTTTTAGCCCGGTCTGTGTGCGTTATGCGAACGCAGCCAACAAAACACTTACTGGTAGGGCTGGAATGAAGATCATGACGTAAATGTGGGTTAATCTGTAAGACAAAATTGAACCACATTTTAATGGGATGGGAACGGCAAACAGGTGGCATACAGGAACCCTGGTGGCTCAGCGGCTAGGATGCGGCATTGCGGGAAAACTCTGCCCACAGCCAGAAAGTTTGATCCTGACCGGCTCAAGGTGGACTCAGCCTTCCGTCCTTCCGAGGTCGGTAAAATGAGGACCCGGATTGTTGAGGGCAAATAGGCTCTCTGTAAATCACTCAGAGAAGGCTGGAAAGCATCGTGAAGCAGTATAGAAGTCTAAGTGCTATTGCTAGCGCTAGCTACCTACCTATTTATCTATCATTTATCTTTTATCATTTCATCTCTATCTCTCTTTATATAGACATATAGATATCTATATTCTCTCTCTGCCTACCTGCCTACCTGTCATGTCAATCTATCTATCAATCTATCTATCTATCTATCTATCTATATCTATCCATCCATCCATCCATCCTAACTATATATCCTATCCTATCTATCTATCTATCTATCTATCTATCTATCTATCTATCATCTATCTCTATCTATCTATCTCTATCTATCTATCCATCCATCCATCCATCCTAACTATATATCCTATCCTATCTATCTATCATTTATTTATTTATTTAGGAGACTTATTTATTTATTTATTTATTTAGGAGACTTATATACCGCTTTAAGTGCGAGCACTCTCTAAGCGGTGTACACCAGTAAGCAATGTATATATATATATATATTTACATTGCCCCCAACAATCTGGGTCCTCATTTTACCTACCCCGGAAGGATGGACGGCTGAGTCAACCTTGAGCCGGTGAGATTTGAACCGCTGACCTGCTGAACAGTCAGCTAAAGTGGCCTGCAGGACTGCACCCTAACTGCTGCGCCACCTCGGCTCATCTATCTATCTATCTACCTACCTACCTACCTACCTACCTACCTACCTATCTATCTATCTATCTATCTATCTATCTATCTATCTATCTATCTATCTATCTATCTTTCTCTATCTATCTATCTATCTATCTATCTATCTATCTATCTATCTATCTCTATCCATCCATCCTAACTATATATCCTATCCTATCTATCTATCTATCTATCTATCATCTATCTATCTATCATCTCTCTCTATATATATATATCCATCCATCCATCCATCATATCTATCTATCTATCTATCTATCTATCTATCTATCTATCTATCTATCTATCTATCTCCATCTATATATCCATCCATCCACACACCTACCTACCTACCTACCTATCTGTCTATATCTATCTATCTATCTATCTATCTATCTATCTATCTATCTATCTATCTATCTATCATCTATCTATCATCTCTCTCTCTCTCTATCCATCCATCCATCCATCATATCTATCTATCTATCTATCTATCTATCTATCTATCTATCTATCTATATCCATCTATCTATCCATCCATCCACACACCTACCTACCTACCTACCTACCTATCTGTCTATATCTATCTATCTATCTATCTATCTATCTATCTATCTCTATCCATCCATCCATCCTAACTATATATCCTATCCTATCTATCTATCTATCTATCTATCTATCTCTATCCATCCATCCATCCTAACTATATATCCTATCCTATCTATCTATCTATCTATCTATCTATCTATCTATCTATCTATCATCTCTCTCTCTCTCTCTCTATCCATCCATCCATCCATCCATCCATCATATCTATCTATATCCATCCATCTATCCATCCATCCACACACCTACCTACCTACCTACCTGTCTGTCTATATCTATCTATCTATCTATCTATCTATCTATCTATCTATCTATCTACCTACCTATCTACCTCTATCCATCCATCCTAACTATCCTTATCTATCCTTATCCATCCATCCATCCATCCATCCATCCATCCATCCATCCATCCATCTATCTACAGTATCTATCTATCTAGCTGAGCATAAGTAGGAGAAGCCTTCCTTTCTCAATCTCCAGGGTCCAGCCCTGTCACTGGATGTTCCCATTAACACTATAGGCCTTCCCTAAAGGAACAATTTACTGATTGTTCAAAGTTACAACAGCACCAGAAAAAAGCGACCTATGACCATTTTTCACACTGACGACCGTTGCAGCCTCCCCAGGGTCACCTGATCAAAACTGGTTTGTGTGGCAAGTGGCTCATATTTATGGCGCTTGTTGTGTCCCGGGGTCACATGATCCTCTTTTGCGACTGTCTGACAAGCAAAGTCAACGGGGAAGCCAGATTCACTTAACAACCGTGTCACTAACTTAACAACTGCAGTGATTCCCTCAACAACTGTGGCCAGAAAGGTCAGAAGATGGGGAAAAACTCACTTAACAACCGTCTTGCTTAGCAACGGAAATTTTGGGCTCGGTTGTGGTCGTACGTGGAGGACCACCTGTATTCATAGATATACATGTGCATGTGTGAGAGGATGTGAAATGTACACACACAAATACACACACACACACACACACACAAACTCTTCTTTCAAGATTCACACAAATGCTGGAAGCCTTCTTTTCTCAATGCCCCCAACACCCAGGCCTGAAAGATAGACTGCTCCTTTCCCTGGAGGTTCTCTTATAAGACTAAATAGTGTTGCTGTTGTTGTTTTTTTAAAGAAATTTAAGCATCCGCTGTTAAAACTCCTTTTCCCCCTAAACGATGTGAAGACTAAACTTTTTGACCAATATATATATATATATATATATGAGAGATAGAGGGCACATATAGGTTTTTCTCAAAATTCGAAACGATGAAGAAGGGGTGATGCCCCCTCCCTCCCCCCAAAAAAACAGGAACAAGAGAAGAGGTGAAAAACAAGAGATGGAAGGGGAAAAAAAAAGAGGGTTGTGTGGTGGTTACACAAGAGCAAGGGGTGTTTTTGGAACACAACCCAGCTGAGAGAAATGCTTTCCCGCTTTTTTTTTTTTTTTTAAAGCAAACAGAAATAGGAGAATCTGTGAGGTAAAACGGTTCTTTTGTCCCTTTTTCTTTTCGGTGCTCCACCCAAAAGGATCAAATTAAAGAGTTGGATTAATTGGGGGCGATGGCTTAATTTAATTTGGACGGGTTTCTTGATGCGTGTGATTTTTTTTGTGTGTGTGTGTGTGCATGTGGGTTGAAAGTAGCCTGTCATAAACCAGCGTACGGCTCGTACTCGACTTATAACCGCAATGGAGTGCAAAATTTATGTTGCTCAGGGAGACACTGGCTAAGTGAGTTTTGCTCCATTTTATCATTTAACAGTTGCTCAGTGAATCCCTGCAGTTGTTAAGATGGGAACACAGTCGTTAAGTGAGTCTGGCTTCCCCATTGACTAAGCCACTTTTCTTCACTGCTGTCGTAAAATGGAACGGACCTTAAGAATAGAATGGAACCGAATGGAACGGAACAGAACAGAACAACAATAGAACAGAACAAAATAGAACAGAGAGGAGGAGAGGAGAGGAGAGGAGAGGAGAGGAGAGGGGAGGGGAGGGGAGGGGAGGAGAGAGAGGGAGAGAGGAGGAGAGGAGAGGAGTCGGGAGGGGAGGGGAAGAGAAGAGGGGAAGGGGAGAAGAGGAGAGGGGAGGGGAGGAGAGAGGAGGAGAGGGGAGGAGACAGGAGGGGAGGGAAGGGGAAGAGAAGAGAGGGGAAGGGAGGGGGAGAGGAGAAGAAGGGAGGAGACAGGAGGGGAGGGAAGGGGAGGAGAAGAGAAGGAAGGGAGGGGGAGAGGAGGAGAAGGGAGGAGACAGGAGGGCAGGGGAAGAGAAGAGGGGAGGGGAGGAGAGAGGAGAGGGGAGGACGGGAGGGGAGGGAAGGGGAGGGGAAGAGAAGAGAGGGGAAGGGAGGGGGAGAAGAGGAGAGGAGAGAAGGGAGGGAGGGGGAGAAGGGAGGAGACAGGAGGGGAGGGGAGGGGAGGGGAAGAGAAGAGGGGGAAGGAGAGAGAGGAAGGGAGGAGAGGAGGGAAGGGGAGGGGAGAAGAGGGGAAGGGAGGGGGAGAAGAGGAGAGGAGAGAAGAGGGGAGGGGAGGAGAAGGGAGGAGACAGGAGGGGAGGGGAGAAGAGGGGAAGAGAAGAGGGGAGGGGAGGAGAGAGGAGGAGAGGGGAGGAGACAGGAGGGGAGGGGAGAAGAGGGGAAGAGAAGAGGGGAGGGGAGGAGAGAGGAAGAGAGGGGAGGAGACAGGAGGGGAGGGGAGGGAAGGGGAGAGGAGGGGAGGGGAAGAGAAGAGAGAGGGGAATGGAGGGGGGAGAAGAGAAGAAGAGAGGGGGGAGGGGAGGGGAGGGGAAGAGAAGAGAAGAGAAGAGGAGAGGGGAGGGGTAGAAGAGGAGAGGGGAGAGGAGAGAGGGGGGGGGAAGGGAGGGAGGGGAGAGGGGAGGAGAGGAGAGAAGCTGAAAGGGAGCTTGGAGGTCTTCTAGTCCAGCCCCCTGCTCAAGCACAACTCGCACAGGCACGGGGGATCACAATCAGCTGCTCAAGGACGCCCAACCTGGAGACTTCGGGATCCTGTCGGAAAAGCAGCAGGATCTGCTCGGTGTTAACAAAAAGTGCCCAGCAGGGAAAGCAGAAAAGCAGCAGGATGAGGATGCCACGTTGCAAAATGATCCCGACTCTCTTCATGTTTTTACTCCCGTAAGTCTGGCAAAAAGAGAGAGAGAGAGAGAGAGAGAGAGAGGGAGGGAGGGAGGGAGGGGGAGAAATAAAAATAAAAATAAAATACATTAGCCGTAAATCGGATTCTTCTGATTCGCCCACAAAGGGATCTCTGAGCAAAACAGCTGAGGGATTCAGGGATCACGTACTGAATGTATAAGAAATTGTCCCCGCGGAGACAGGAGACTGAGAATCGGGAGCACGTGAAGATCAGCCCTGGTCATTAAGCGGATCGCTGAGGCTGTTAAGCGGAATACACATTACCTGGGACATGAGGGTATCGCACACCGATGCCAAGCCGGTCCCCACCGAAATGCCAATCACATTGACCACCTGGAAAGAAGGAAAGGAAAGGTCAGCAAGAGATCCCCCCCCCGTATTTCTGCACCATTCCGTCTCTGATATCATGTTGCTCAACCGTGGCAACTTGAAGGTTATAATAATGATGATGAGGAGGATGATAATAATAATAATAATAATAATAATAATAATAATAATAATAATAATAATAATAATAATAAAAAACTTGGAAGGGACCTTGGAGGTCATCTAGTCCAACCCCCTGCTCAGGCAGGAAACCCTATCCCATTTCAGATCAAATGGCTGTCCGGTCTCTTCTTAAAAACTTCCAATGTTGGAGCATTCACTGCTTCTGGAGGCAGGTTGTTCCACTGGTCAATTGTTCTGAATGTCGGGAAGTTTCTCCTTAGTTCCAGGTTGCTTCTCTCTTTGATTAGTTTCCATCCGTTGCTTCTTGTCCGCCTTCAGGCGCTTTGGAGAATAGCTTGACTCCCTCTTCTTTGGGGCAGCCCCTGAGATACTGGAACACTGCTACCATGTCCCCCCTCGTCCTTCTCTTCATTAAACTGGACATATCAATTCCAGCAACCGTTCCTTATATCTTTTAGCCTCCAGTCCCCTAATTATCTTTGTTGCTCTTCTCTGTACTCTTTCTAGAGTCTCAACATTTTTACATCGCAGTGACCAAAACTGGATGCCATATTCCAAGTGTGGCCTTACCAAGGCCTTGTAAAGTGGTATTAATGCTTCACATGATCTTGATTCTCTCCCTCTGTTAATGCAGCCCAGCATTGTGTTGGCTTTTTTGGCAGCTGCAGCACACGGCTGGCTCCTGTTTAAGGGATTGGTGAACTTCAACTCCCAGAATTCCCCAGCCAGCACTTTCATGGATGGACTTCAATGTCCAGAGATCCCCAGCTGGCCAACATTAAGAAGGGTGTACCTCAACACCCAGAATTCCCCAGCTAGCACTTGGATGGATGGGCTTCAACCATCGGCATTCCTCAATCTGCTTTGATGGTTGAGGAATTCTGGGACCTGAAGTCCATCTCTCAGAGCATGCTGGGAGTTGAACCGAGCTGGCGAATTCTGGGAGTTGAAGTCCGTTCCTCTTAAAGAATGTTGGCTGGGGAATTCTGGGAGTGGAAGTCCACCCTTGTTCAAGCAGGCCAGCTAAGGAATTCTGTTAGCTGAAGTCAATTCATTTTAAAACATGCTGGCTAGGGAATTCTGGGAGTGGATGTTAGCCCGTCTTAAAGCGTGTGGGCTGGGGAATTCTGGGAATGGAAATCCACCCCTCTTAAAGCATGCTGGCTGGGGGATTCTGGGAGTGGAAGTCCACCCCTCTTAAAGCAGGCTGGCTAGGGGATTCCGGGAGTGGAAGCCCACCCCTCTTAATGCATGCTGGTTGGGGGATTCTGGGAGTGGAAGCCCACCCCTCCTAATGCATGCTGGCTGGGGAATTCTGGGAGTGGAAGTCCACCCATTTAAAGCATGGCTGGCTTGGAATTCTGGGAGTGGAAGCCCACCCCTCTTAAAGCAGGCTGCCTGGGGGATTCCGGGAGTGGAAGCCCACCCCTCTTAATGCATGCTGGCTGGGGAATTCTGGGAGTGGAAATCCACCCCACTTAAAGCAGGTTGGCTGGGGAATTCTGGGAGTGGAAGCCCTCCCCTCTTAAAGCAGGCTGGCTAGGGAATTCTGGGAATGAAAATCCACCCATCTTAAAGCACGCTGGCTGGGGAATTCTTGGAGTTAAATTCCACGAATCTTAAACCATGCTGGCTGGGGGATTCTGGAAGCTGAAGTCCACCCATCTGAAAGTTGCCAAGGCTGAGACACATTGCTCCAACATGTCAATGCTTCTCCAGTGTCTCACTGCATCCAGGCCCTATCCAGCCCCCAACATGGTCTTCACCCATCTGTGCATCAGTCAATAGTCAATCTTCACCTGTTCCAATTCTATCAGGGGACAGTGCTACAAAACCCCTTTTCCTGCTTTGGCTAGGCAGGGATGTACCTACCGAGACTGCAACGGTGACGGCATCAAGTTCGATCTTGCCCAGATGACCGCAGAAGATGGAGCTCACCACGCTGATCAAGAAGCCCAACAGCTGGGCTGTGAACTAGGGAGGAAATTGCAAAAATTAGAGGATTATTCCAGGAACCGACAGACGCCCGCAACGTCTGAAATCCGTAAGGCAGTGGTTCTCAACCTGTGGGTCGGGACCCCATTTGGGGTCGAACGACCATTTCACGGGGGTCGCCAAACAACGCAGTCCGCCATTTTTTTCCCCTTTTCCTTAGCTGTGCTACTCCCGTTTATTCTATTGGCTTTTGAAAGCCAATAGAATAGACTCTCTTGAATAAAGTCTAAGTCTATTGGCTTTCAAAAGCCAATAGGAATTGTCCAGGCTGTCTCTGCCCTGCTGAGCCCGCCAAAAGTCCCATTCTGCAAACGGTGCTGCACCAGTTGAGTAGTCCTCGACTTACAACCGGTTGAGTAGTCCTCGACTTACGACCGGTTGGGGGGTCGCGGCATTAAAAAGGTTGAGAACCACTGCCGTAAGGCATTGAAAGATTTGCTTCTGAAAGTAATTCTCTTCAATGGGCAAGCCACCCACCACCACTGTGTGGACTTACCAAACTGCACATTTGTCTCCCAGGGGCGGTGAATAGGAGATTGGGATCATAGAATAATAGAGTCGGAAGGGATCTTGGAGGTCATCTAGTCCAACCCCCTGCTCAGGCAGGAAAGCCTACACCCTTTCAGACAAATGGCTGTCCAGTCTCTTCTTAAAAACTTCCAGTTTTTGGAGAATCCACAGCTTCTGGAGGCAGGTTGTTCCACTGATTAATTGCTCTCATTGTCAGGAAGTTTCTCCTTAGTTCTAGGTTGCTTCTCTCCTTGATGAATTTTCCCTCAAATATCAGAACACTTGCTATCCTGGTCTTCTTCTGGAAACCCACCCCTAGACACCTTGTCTTGCTGGGTTTTCAACAATCTGCCATTGTTACTTCCAGTCCTTTACTTTCTGGTTTCAAGTGTCATGGAAAACAGTTCTTCAGCCAGATGCTAACTTGCTAAAGTTTGGTGAGAACCATCCAGATATTTGTAGAAATAACACAGAGGGGGGGAAAAAACCCCAGGCATTGTCCAGGTGCTAAATTCAACACTCCAATATGATATGTAAATATACATATATTAGCAGATGGAGAGATGGACGGACAGGCAGATGATAGATGGATAAGTAGATAGACAGACAGATGCACATGTGGATGGATCTATGGATGGGTGGGTGGGTGGGTGGGTGGATGATGGATGGATGGAATGATGGGTGCATGGATGGATGGATAACAGACAGATGGATGGACAGGTAAGTAGATGGATGGATGGATACATACAGATGGATAGACGGACGGACGGACGGATGGATAGATGGTGGATAGATGGTTGGATGGGTAGGTGCGTGGATGGATGGATAGCAGACAGATGGATGGACAGGTAAGTAGGTAGATGGATGAATACATACATATGGACGGACGGACAGAAGGATGGATGGATGCAGGGATATGTAGACAGACAGATGGATGGGTAGGTGGGTATTTTATAGGTAGATAGATGGATTTATATGTAGATGGATGGATAGGTGGATGGATGAAGGGATGAAGGGTAGATAAATAAATGGGTGGGTATGTATGTCAGTAGATAAATAGATAAATGGGTGGGTATGTATGTCAGTCAGTAGGTAAGTAGGTAGGTAGGTACACGGGTGGATGGATGGATGGATGGATGGATGGATGTAGAGATACATAGATGGACAGATGAGTAGGTAGGTATACTGTAGATAGGTAGATAGATGGATGGACATGTAGATGGATGGATAGGTGGATGGATGGATGTAGGGAAGGAAGGATGAAGAGGTGGATGGAGAGATAGATACATGAATAGGTAGGTAGATAGATGGGTAGATGGATGAGTAGGTGACAGATATTGCAAAATATGTCTGCTTCGGCCTGTCATTCATGTTTTGCAACACCCCACCCTCGGGCCACAAGCCCTGCCTAAGAGTCAACACCTGCCAATCAAAGCGAGCGTTCCACATGCCAGGAGCTTGTGGTCTGCATTCCTCCGAGCCACTCCTTGTGTTTCTTGGTCCCAAAGAGTTTAATCTGGCTCTTGAACCCTGGAAATGCAAGCTTTGGCTTGGCGCTTTTTGGACCGAAGGGAAAGAGTCCAGGATAAGCGACACCCACCTGGACTAAGCCAGTTTATGCAATCTCCACCCGGTGCGTATGTGAGTTATCCGATCTAGGGGCTGACCTTTCTGCCTGCTTAAGTCAGGAAATGATTTTTATCAAGGAGCAAAGAACAGAAAGTTATGAAGCACCATTCTAAGCGAAGAGGGGGGATCAAGCTGTTCTCCAAGGCGCCTGAAGGCAGGACAAGAAGCAACGGATGGAAACTCGTCAAGGAGAGAAGCAACCTAGAACTAAGGAGAAACTTCCTGACAGTTAGAACAACTAACCAGTGGAACAATCTGCCACCAGAAGTGGTGAATGCTCCAACACTGGAAGTTTTTAAGAAACAATTGAGCGGCCATTTGTCTGGGCTGGTCTAGTCCAGGAGTAGGCAACCTGGGCTCTTTTATGACTCGTGGACTTCAACTCCCAGAATTCCTGAGCCAGCCATGCTGAGGGGAAAGGGAGAGGTTTCCAAGCTGAGCCATGCTGGCTCAGGAATTCTGGGAGTTGAAGTCCACCAGTCATGAAGGGGCCATAATTCCCACATGCTGGCTTAGGAATTCTGGGAGTTGAAGTCCACAAGTCATAAAAGAGCCAAGGTTTTAGTCCATCTAGGGAAGGGGAAACTGCCGGCCCACGGGATGGATGCGTCACGGCGAAACCTTGCCCACCCCATTGCCAGCAATGGAAAAAAAGTTACGATACGTCGTGACACGTCACGTCACGTGACATTGCGAGTTTGACACTCCTGGTCTGGGGCAAACACAGGACCACCTTCCGCAAACTCAGAGGCTCCAACTCTGAAGCCAGGCCTCTCCTTCAAAACCCAACCCAGAAACTTTTTCGGCCTGGAGCGATTTTGGAAAATATCAAAACTGGACAATAACAACAACAACAATAATTATAATAATAAAGTTGGAAGGGACCTTGGAGGTCATCTAGTCCAACCCCCGGCTCAGGCAGGAAACCCTATATCAGTGGTTCTCAACCTTTCTAATGCCGTGACCCCATAATACAGGTCCCCATGTTGTGGTGACCCCCAAGTGGGTGTAGCCACCAATAAGAGGGAGTAGGACAGCTAGGGAAAAGTGGAAAAAATGGCAGACAGTGTGGTTTGGCGACCCCCGTGAAATGGTCATTCGACCCCAAATGGGGTCCTGACCCACAGGTTGAGAACCACTGCCCTATACCATTTCGGACAAATGGCTGTCCAGTCTCTTCTTAAAAACTTCCAGTGTTGGAGCATTCACCGCTTTTGGAGGCAGGTTGTTCCACTGGTTAATTGTTCTGTCTGGAAGTTTCTCCTTAGTTCTAGGTTGCTTCTCTCCTTGATGAGTTTCCAACCGTTGCTTCTTGTCCTGCCTTCAGGTGCTTTGGAGAATAGCTTGACTCCCTCTTCTTTGGGGCAGCCCCTGAGATACTGGAAGACTGCTATCCTGTCCCCCCCCCTCGTCCTTCTCTTCGTTAAACTAGACATACCCAATTCCAGCAACCGTTCCTTACATGTTGTAGCCTCCAGTCCTCTAATCATCTTTGTTGCTCTTCTCTGCACTCTTTCCCAATTATAATAATAATAAAGTTGGAAGGGACCTTGGAGGTCATCTAGTCCAACCCCCTGCTCAGGCAGGAAAACCTGTACCATTTCAGACAAGTGGCTGTCCAGTTTCTTCTTAAAAACGTCCAGTGTTGGAGCATTCACCACTTCTGGAGGCAGGTTGTTCCATTGATTAATTGTCCACACTGTCAGGAAATTCTTCCTTAATTCCAGGTTGCTTCTCTCCTTGATGAGTTTCCATCTGTTGCTTCAGGCACTTTGGAGAACAGCTTGACTCCCTCTTCTTTGGGGCAGATCCTAAGATACTGGAAGGCTGCTATCACGTCCCCCCTCGTCCTTCTCTTCATTAAACTAGACATACCCAGTTCCAGCAACCGTTCCTTATATGTTTTAGCCTCCGGCCCCCTGATCATCTTTGTTTCTCATTATCAAATGATCGTCTCCTGACCAGGGATACGATGCTTCTCATCCAGCATGGAACAAAGGCTGGCTCAGTTGGGAAAAGGGGATCTCCCCTCCTCCACAACACCCAGAAATACACACAGCCTCCAGCCACTGCAGGAAGAAAGGAACGCCGGTTGCTCGCAGGGACACAAGGAAAGTGCCAACGAAGGCTATATGAGTAAGTTTGGGGATGGGTTTCAACGTGTTTAGCAATCCCAAGAATCAAACGGCTTGTAATTTCCTCCTTCAGGTCAGAGAAAAAGCTTGCTCCAAATTTCAGGAAAGTCCCCCAAAAAGATTCGCACTGGAAAACCCATCCTAAATGGTGAATGGATTTATAAATGGACGCAAAACTCCGGACGTTGTGTGTGGCAAGAGAGATTTTCCAACAGACACAGGAGTTCTCAGAATGCCAATCCGTAGTATTTCTCAGTCTTCGCAACTTTAAAAGGAGTGGACTTCAACTCCCAGAATTCCCCAGCCAGCATGCTTGAAGATAGTTGGTATCTGGGAGTGGAAGTCCACCCATCTTAAAGCAGGCTGGCTGGGGAATTCTGGGAGTTGAAGTCCACCCATCTTAAAGCCTGCTGGCTGGGGAATCCTGGGAGTGGAAGTCCATCCCTCTTAAAGCAGGCTGGCTGGGGGATTCTGGGAGTGGAAGTCCATCCCTCTTAAAGCAGGCTGGCTGGGGGATTCTGGGAGTGGAAGTCCACCCCTCTTAAAGCAGGCTGGCTGGGGAATTCTGGGAGTGGAAGTCCACCCCTCTTAAAGCAGGCTGGCTGGGGAATTCTGGGAGTGGAGGTCCACCCACCCCACCCCACAGGGTTGTTGTTATGAGGAATATAGAGGAAGGCCTGCTGGATATGTTTGCCACCTTGAATTAGTCGTTAAAAATAATCAAAAGGTAGGATACATAAATAAAAGCATTTCTGCCATTTTATTTTTGATAGCCGGCTGAAGAAAGGGAAAAAAAAAACGTAAAAAATCCCCAGTGCTATCTTTTCTAGGAACGCTGATTTATGACATGCAAATGTTTGTCTTCAACACTTCAGGAAAGAGGCCTCTGAGCTGAAGAAAAAGAATTGAGAACGGATGGATGGAGAAATAAAGAACGCAAGAGCCATAAAAAGGGACTTTGTTTTTTTTTTCCACTCAATCGAGGTTTTTATAATCAGCAGAGCCCAGAAGCTATATGAGTAAGAAGGGCAAAATCCAAGAAACAAGCCTATGAAACAATAGTGCGAGAAAAAACAAGATAGCCAAAAATCAGAAGGAATAGAACAGAACAGAACAGAACAGAACAGAACAGAACAGAACAGAATAGAATAGAATAGAATAGAATAGAATAGAATAGAATAGAATAGAATATTGCTGGAAGGGACCTTGGAGGTCTTCTAGTCGAGCCCCCTGTTCAAGCAGGAGAACCTATATCAGTGGTTCTCAACCTTTTTAATGCCGCGACCCCCAACCGGTCGTAAGTCAAGGACTACTCAACTGGTGCAGCACTGTTTGCAGAATAGGACTTTTGGCGGGCTCAGCAGGGCAGAGACAGCCTGGACAATTCCTATTGCCTTTTGAAAACCAATAGAATTAGACTCTATTCAAGAGAGTCTATTCTATTGGCTTTCAAAAGCCAATAGAATAAAAGTGAGTAGCACAGCTAAGGAAAAGGGGGGAAAAAATGGCGGACTGCGTTGTTTGGCGACCCCCGTGAAATGGTTGTTCAACCCCAAATGGGGTCCCGACCCACAGGTGGAGAACCAGTGACCTATATCATCTCAGACAAATGGCTGTCCAGTCTCTTCTTAAAAACCTCCAGTAATGGAGCACCCACAATTTCTGGTGGCAAGCTGTTCCACTGGTTAATTGTCCTCACTGTCTGGAAGTTTCTCCTTAATTCCAGGTTGCTTCTCTCTTTGAACCTCCAAGCTCCTTTTCCGACTCATTACAGATAGTCCTCGACTTACAGTCATTCATTTAGCGACCGTTCAAAGTTACGACGACCCTTAAAAAGTGACTTATGACTGGTTTTTCACACTTACGACCGTTGCAGCATCCCCCGCGGTCACGTGATCAAAATTCAGACGCTCGGCAACTGACTTATATTTATGACGGTCGCAGTGTCCCGGGGTCAGGTGACCCCCTTTTGCGACCTTCTGGCAAGCAGAATCAATGGGGGAAGCCGGATTCACTTTACAACCGGGTTACTAACTTCACAACTGCGGGGATTCCCTTAACAACCATGGTGTAAAATGGGGCAAAACTCACTTAACAACTCTCTGGTTTAGCAAGAGACATTTGGGGCTGAATTGTGGCTGTAAGTTGAGGACTACCTGTACTGCAGTGGTTCTCAACCTGTGGGTCGGGACCCCATTTGGGGTCCAATGACCATTTCACGGGGGTCGCCAAACAATGCAGTCCGCCATTTTTTTCCCCCTTTTCCTTAGCTGTGCTACTCCCTTTTATTCTATTGGCTTTTGAAAGCCAATAGAATAGACTCTCTTGAATAGAGTCTAATTCTATTGGCTTTCAAAAGCCAATAGGAATTGTCCCGGCTATCTCTGCCCTGCTGAGCCCGCCAAAAGTCCCATTCTGCAAACGGTGCTGCACCAGTTGAGTAGTCCTCGACTTACGACCGGTTGAGTAGTCCTTGACTTACGACCGGTTGGGGGCCGCAGCATTAAAAAGGTTGAGAACCACTGCTGTACCAAGTCAGGTGATCTGCTTAACTCCAGCCTCTTTACATTCTTCCTTCTAAGGTTGGGTAGAGCCTGGTAGACTGCCCTGAGACAGAGAGGTTCTCTTCAGCCATCCAGGCAAAAGCCCTGTCCCCCAACCTCTGGTCCGTTCCTCTCTCCAACCTGGGCAAAAGGACCATTCCATCATCCAAACTCAGAGTACAGAATCATGGAATCACAGAAGGGACCTCAGAGGTCCTGTAGTCCAACCCCTCCCCCCTTATCCAAGTCAGGAGTCCTTCTAGCATTCTGGACAAATGGTTGTCCAATCAAAAGGTTTGTATCTCTCCCTTTGACACCTTCTGGGGTCTAGACCCAGTATATTTTGGGGGGGGGGGCAGAGGGGCTGGGGAAGGGGCAAGGACAAGAAGCAACAGATGGAAACTCATCAAGGAGAGAAGCAACCTGGAACTGAGCAGAAACTTCCTGGCAGTGAGAACAATTAACCAGTGGAACTCCTTGCCTCCAGAAATTGTGAATGCTCCAACACAGGAAGTTTTTAAGAAGAGACTGGACAGCCATTTGTCTGAAATGGTATAGGGTTTCCTGCCTGAGCAGGGGGTTGGACTAGATGACCTCCAAGGTCCCTTCCAACTTTACTACTACTACTACTACTATACTACTACTACTACTACTACATCCAGTTTTGGTCACCACGAGGTAAAAAAGATGTTGAGACTCTAGAAAGAGTACAGAGAAGAGCAACAAAGATGATTAGGGGACTGGAGGCTAAAACATATAAGGAACGGTTGCTAGAATTGGGTATGTCTAGTTTAATGAAGAGAAGGACAAGGGGGGACATGATAGCAGTATTCCAATATCTCAGGGGCTGCCATAAAGAAGAGGGAGTCAAGCTATTCTCCAAAGCGCCTGAAGGCAGGACAAGAAGCAACGGGTGGAAACTAATCAAGGAGAGAAGCAACCTAGAACTAAGGAGAAACTTCCTGACAGTGAGAACAATTAACCAGTGGAACAACCTGCCTCCAGAAGTGTGTGAATGCTCCAACACTGGAAGTTTTTAAGAAGAGACTGGACAGCCATTTGTCCAAAATGGTGTAGGGTTTCCTGCCTGAGCAGGGGGTTGGACTAGATGACCTCCAAGGTCCCTTCCAACTTTACTACTACTACTACTACTACTACTACTACTACTACTACTACTATTATTACTATTATTATTATTATTATTATTATTATTATTATTATTATTAGAGTGTGGCCTTCGTTCTGGAGTCCGGCCAGTGTTTCAATGTTTAAAACTCTGTTTAACTTTATAGCCTCTGAGATCTACAGAGCTGATTTCTCTGTTTGCTAACTCAAAAGTCAAGAGCAATCACAGCATCGCCTTGATTTTATTTACTTACTTACTTACTTACCTACCAGAAAGGGTGGCAATTAATTCATTTGTTTGTCATACTCATAAAAATGGATGCACAGAATCACCCCCAAAGTTCTACTGAATGCCAGATGGTCAAGATGGAGCCTTCCTCAAACTTAATTTTTCTAAAAAAAAAATTTAAACCACTTTCTCCCTTCTTTCCCCACCAGCTTTCTCTGTGCCCCAAAACTCCCTTTATTTTTCCCCCCATCCTTTTAATTCCTTGTTCCAGGTCCACACAACCATCCTAGCCCAAAAAGAAAGGATCCGGTCTGCAAGTGTGCTTTGAAAGCCCTCCGCTTCCTGACAGCTAAGGCACCACCCTTAAGTGACTCGGGGTTCAAGAATCCTCACGCATTACTTATGGACTGAGACGGGGAAAGGAAGGGCTGGAGGCAGGGCTGGGGGCAGAGCGAATTCGTTCACACGACCTAGAGTTAAAATGGGGAAAGCGTTTATTTCCATCCCAGCCCAAACCATCCCACTTAATCCGCCGGGTTGTGTGAACGAGCGGACGAAGCTCAAACGGGACGCCTCGATTTCCACCCCAGCCGAAACAAATACGCTTAACCCGCCGGGTTGTGTGAACGAAGGGACGAAGCTCAAACGGGGCGAATTGATTTCCTTCCCAGCTGAAATAAATACGAAACAATCCGGGGTTTTTTATGAACGGACGAAGCTCCAATGGGGCGAGCTGATTTCCCTCCCAGCCCAAATTAACACGTGTCATCCGGCGGGTCGTGTGAACGAGCGAACGAACTTTTTTTTTTCTCCCCTTCCCTTCCCTCTCCCGGTCCCGAGCCCTCCTTACCACGGGCCCGCCGATCTTGATCAGCTCCCGGGCCTCCTGCCAAGCGCCGACGGGCAGCAGGCGGCGGAGGCTGCGGCCGCAGCGGGAAGCCCAAAGCGGCAAACTCCGAGCCGGCTCCTCCATCACCGTCCCGGCCGGCCGCTGCCCTCGGCCATGGGGGGCCCCACGCAGTTTCCGCCCGGTAGCCTAACGGCCGAGCCGCCCAACCCGCCCGAGCCGGCGGCGGGCAAAGCAGGAGCAGCGGCGGCGGCGGCAGCCGAGCTCCGGGGGCCACGTGAAGGTAGGGGAGAAGGGGCGTGGCCTGGCCGGGAATCCCCGCCGCTATTGGGTGGACCGCGCTGTGACGCGCGCCAAGCAGGGGCGCCAGGGGCAACCTGCCCCTCCCCCTCCCCCCAAGGCTGGGTTTCCCCTTTTTGTGGGCGAGGGACCACTTGGGGAACCCCCCCGCCCCCCCCTTTGTCTTGGGACCCCCTCCTCTGAATGGGTGGCCAACGAGAGAGAGAGAGAGAGAGAGAAGGATGGAGAGAGAGAGACATAACAGATGATAGAGATAATAGATAGATAATTAATCCATAGATGATAGCTGGCTGGCTGGCTGGATGGATGGATAGATTGTTGTTGTTAACTGCGAAGTTGGGTCCGACCCATCGCGACCCCATGGACCACGTTCCTCCAGGCCTTCCTGTCCTCCACCATCTTCTGGAGTCCATTGAAGCTCACACCTACTGCTTCAGTGACTCCATCCAGCCATCTCATTCTCTGTCGTCCCCTTCTTCTCTTGCCCTCCATCTTTCCCAGCATCAGACTCTTCTCCAGTGAGTCCTTCCTTCTCATTAGGTGGCCAAAGGACTTGAGTTTCAACTTCAGGATCTGGCCTTCTAAAGAGCAGTCGGGGTTGATCTCCTCCAGGACTGACCGGTTGGATCGCCTTGCAGTCCAGGGGACTCGCAGGAGTCTTCTCCAGCACCATAGTTCAAAGGCCTCAATTCTTTGGCGCTCAGCCTTTCTTATGGTCCAACTTTCACAGCCATACATTGCAACTGGGAAAACCATGGCCTGGACTATACGCACTTTTGTTGGCAGGGTGATGTCTCTGCTTTTTAGTATGCTGTCTAGATTTGCCATAGCTTTCCTCCCCAGGAGCAAGCGTCTTTTAATTTCTTGGCTGCAGTCCCCATCTGAGGTGATCTTGGAGCCCAGAAAAATAAAATCTGTCACTACCTCCATTTCTTCCCCATCTATTTGCCAGGAATTGAGAGGGCCGGATGCCATGATTTTGGTTTTCTTAATGTTGAGTTTCAAGCCAACTTTTGCACTCTCCTTCTTCACCCGCATCAAGAGGCTCTTTAGTTCCTCTTCACTTTCTGCCATTAGAGTGGTATCATCTGCATATCTTAGGTTGTTGATATTTCTCCCGGCAATCTTAATTCCAACTTTTGTTTCATCTAGCCCTGCCTTTCTCATGATGTGATAGATGTTATGAGAGAGAGATGATAGACAGAGATAAAGATGGAGAGAGATATACAGATGATAGATAATAGATATATAGAAAGATAGACAGATGATAGATAGATAGATAGATGATAGATAGATAGATAGATAGATAGATGATAGATAGATAGATAGATAGATAGATAGATAGATAGATAGATAGATAGCATTTTTTGTCATAGAACGCCCAGAACAGAGTTTCGGCACCTTTTTTGGATGGAACTTTGTAGGGTAGACAAGGCGGGTTGTATGATGTGCGTGAGTTCCGGCACCTTTTTTTTTTTTTTGCAAAAAAAAAACACTGGATGGATGGATAGAGAGATAGATAGATAGATAGATAGATAGATAGATAGATAGATAGATGTTATGACAGAGATGATAGAGATAAAGATGGAGAGATACAGATGATAGATAATAGATATATAGAAAGATAGATGATAGATAGATGTTATGAGAGAGAGATGATAGACAAAGATAAAGATGGAGAGAGAGATAGATGATAGATAGATAGATGTTATGAGAGAGAAAGGATAGAGATAACAGAGAGATATATATAGATGATAGATAGATAATAGATATATAGAAAGATAGTTGATAGATAGATAGAGATGAGAGAGATGATAGCTAGAGATAAGGATGGAGAGAGAGATACAGATGATAGAGATAATACATAGATAATTAATCCATAGATAGATAGATAGATAGATAGATAGATAGATAGATAGATAGATAGATAGATAGATGTTTTTTCTTTTTAAAAACATCCAGTGCTGGAGCACTCACAACTTCTAGAGGCAAGCTGTTTCATTGGTTAATTGTCCTCACTGTCAAGAAATTTCTCCTTAGTTCTAGACTGCTTCTTTCCTGGATTAGTTTCCATCCGATGCTTCTTGTCCTGCCTTCAGATGCTTTGGAGAACAGCTTGACTCCCTCTTCTTTGGGGCAGCCCCTCAAATATTGAAAGACTGCTATCGTCCCCCGTTTCTTTCCTTTAGACTAGCTCAGTGGTTCTCAATCTTTTTAGACCGGCGACCCCGGTCATAAGCAGGCGGCATGCATGCGCGGCGGTGCCCCCTGCGCGGCACGCATGCGCGGCACCGCCCCCATGCGCCGCCCCCTGCACGGTGCGCATGCGTGGCGGCGTCCCATGCGCCGCCCCCTGCGCGGCACACATGCGCGGCGGCGCTCCCTGTGCCGGCTGAGAAAAAAATGGCGGATTGCATTGTTGGCGACCCCCGTGAAATGGTCGTTCGACCCCAAATGGGGTCCCGACCCACAGGTTGAGAACCGCTGGACTAGCTAAACCGAAGTCCTGCAACTGTTCTTCGTATGTTTTAGTCTCCAGGCCTTTAATCATCTTAGTTGCTCTTAGTTATCTTTGACCACCTTAAAAATTTCTAAGAAAAATTATATATATTCAGAGGAAAAAATATTCAAGGCTAAGGCTGGTCCATCTGTCTTTCTCCGATAAGGCTGTTGCTCCCTTCATTGTCCATCCACAAAGGTCAGGGCTGCCAGACTAGAGTTACTACATCTAGGAGTAGCAAATATTTGCTCCGTCATTGGTGCTTAATTAAGGGGACGTCCCCCACCTCAAGCCAGCTTCTCATGTTTGTTTGTTTCCGGAGCAGAGGCTTTTTTTTCAGCTCCTCTTAGATTCATAGCTCACCCTGAACTTAATCCTATTGCCCATTTTTGACCCCCGTACAATAGAAATATTTGCATTTTTATCTGTGTTCTACTTAGACTTGCAAGGAAGATATTGCTCCAAGGGTAGGACTGAACCTAGCATGCTCAGAGCTTGCACCCAGCATAGGTCGTCCTCGACTTACGAGCCCAATTGAGCGCAACATTTACACCACTGTGAGACGCTTAAGTGAGTTTTGACCCATTTTACAACCTTTCTTGTCACCGTTGTTAAGTGAAACACTGCGGTGGTTAAGTTAGGAACATGGTCATTAAGTGAACCCAGCTTCCCCCATTGACTTTGCTTGGCACAAGGTCGCAAAAGGGGATCACGTGACCCTGGGACACTGCGGCCGTCATAAATATGAACCATCCGAATTTTGATCATGTGTCCATAGGGGTGTCACAACGGTCGTTAAGTGTGAAAAACCAGTCCTAAGTCACTTTTTTCAGTGCTGTTGTAACTTTGAACAGCCACTAAATGGACCATCGTAAATCGAGGACTACCTGTATATGATTTTTGCATTTGCGAAGCATGTTAAGGACAAATAATATGCCTGCCAGATTCTTGGCACCGAAAAAAAAGCAACTTATGATGGGTCCTCGTGCTTGTGACCGTCGTAGCATCCCATACAGTCATGTGATTAAAAATTTGGGTACTTGTCAACCAGCATGTATTTTGCATGTTTGTCAGCATCCCGGAATCATGTGATCGCCCTTTACGACCTTCCCAAGTGGCTTCTGAGAAACCCAGCCAATGGGGAGGCTGGATTCACTTAATAACCGTCTTACTCACTGAACAACTGCAAGGATTCACCTCGCAACTTCGGCAGGAGAGGTCGTAAAATGAGGAAACATTCACTTCGCAATTGCCTTGCTTAGCAACGTAAATTTTGGGCACGGTTGCAGTCATAAGTTGAGGACTATGTGTATTGATGCTGAGAACGTTAAGAAGAACAACTTTAACTTCAACTCCCAGAATTCCTCAGCCAGCCAGTCAGCCGGCTTCTGGACTTCAACTCCCAGAATTCCTCAGCTGGCCAGTCAGCCAGCTTCTGGACTTCAACTCCCAGAATTCCTTAGCCGGCCAGTCAGCCAGCTCGTGGACTTCAACTCCCAGAATTCTTCAGCCGGCCAGTCAGCCAGCTTGTGGACTTCAACTCCCAGAATTCCTCAGCCGGCCAGTCAGCCGGCTTGTGGCCTTCAACTCCCAGAATTCCTCAGCTGGCCAGTCAGCCGGCTTGTGGCCTTCAACTCCCAGAATTCCTCAGCTGGCCAGTCAGCCGGCTTGTGGCCTTCAACTCCCAGAATTCCTCAGCTGGCCAGTCAGCCGGCTTGTGGCCTTCAACTCCCAGAATTCCTCAGCCGGCCAGTCAGCTGGCTGAGGAATTCTGGGAATTGAAGTCCACAAGTCTTAAAATGGCCGAGTTTGAAGACTCTTGGTTAATAATCTCTGGCTTCTGACTGCCTGGGAAATCAGCCTCCAAATAACCAGATTAAGGTCAATTCTCCACACACCCCCAGTGAATGTTCAACCTTAAATTATGCAACCAGATCATTCTTTTCTTATTAGGCGATGGCAATTTCTGGAGAATTCTGTCACGTGTCGGCCATTATCCCAGGCACATTTGCATCACTGGGTCTCTCGCCTGGACACACACAATCCAGGTCAAATGGCATCCATAGGCAGTCCCTGAGTTACAACCGTTTATTTCAGTGGTTCTCAACCTGTAGGTCGGGACCCCATTTGGGGTCGAACGACCATTTCACGGGGGTCGCCAAACAAGGCTGTCCGCCATTTTTCCCCCCTTTTCTTTGGCCACGCCCCTGGCGTCCGGTGATGTATAAGTGGTTGGGGGTCACCACAACACGGGGAACTGTATTATGGGGTCGCGGCATTAGAAAGGTTGAGAACCACTGGTTTATTTAGTGACTGCTCAAAGTTACAAAGGGCCCTGAAAAAAAGGGACTTAGGATCATTTTTCACACGTAGGACCGTTGCAGCATCCCCAGTGACAGCTGATCGAAATTCAGGTGCTTGCTTTAAAAAAAAACCCAGCCGCTTGGAGGGAGGATGCCTCCCTTTCTCCCTCCCTCTCTCCCTCTCTCCCTCTCTCCTCTCTCTCTCTTCCCTCTCTCCTCTCTCTCTTTCCCCTCTTTCTCTTTCCCCCCTTTCTCCCTCGCTCCCCCTCTATCTCCCCCTTCTCTTTCTCTCACCCACCTCTCTCCCCTCTCTTGCTCTTTCCCTCTCT